TTTTTTTTTTTTTTTGATAAGAGCAAGGTAGAGTATTTAAGGTACAAAACCTTTATTATTCAATAATGCACATCTATTCGAAATTTAAAACATACCACAGATTAAAAGGCTAACAACTAAATATTTTGGACACATGATCTGATATTCTCTCTCTCAAAATCACAACTCTTACAGTTTTTCTGCCTAACAATAATAAAAAATTAAAAATTGATATAAAAAACAGCAATCTGGTTGAAATTAGTTTAAAACTCAAATATATGGTAGCATTTAGTGTTCCACTTTCTTTAATCTATATGGAAAATCAGGTATCAGATGGGGTTGTGATAATGTACTTCATGAGGCAAATGACAGACTGGGGGATGAAGGGGAGGGATAAGCTTGGTGATGGTTGGTACACGTGGTGGAAGTAGAAGTAGGGGCCTTTTCAGTCTTTTAATATGGTTTGTGTCTGGATAACAGTGCTCTTATAAGTTATAGCAGTCTGGGGATGATAAGAGTCTAGAGGAAAGGATGAAAATGCTAAGTAGATAAAGATAGTGACTGATGTGCTATAGTGGGATGTTGTTTGTGCAATCCACTACTGGTGATGATGTAAGCAATGTGGGGTGCTGAATAACCATGTCATTTTGCTGCTGGTAGGGAGGGGAAGGAAAGGAGGACTTTGTTACAGAGTAATTCTAGTCATTTGGAGTGTAGTTTTGGAAGTTACCTATATTATTATCATATTTTTTCTCCATATGCTGTTGGGAAATAACAGAGGGGAACATTGGCTAAGTTTTGAAAATGATGGGGGTGGCTCATTACCAAGTTTGAACTACGAGTTGGAAATATGCAACTTTCCCAAATCATAAAGGGATAAACTTCCATTTATCGTTGTACAAATATATCAAAATTTTAACTATTCATAAAATATCTTAAGGTTAAACAAATAAAACAAACACATGCGTCCCACAGGCAAACACGTACATACTGTATCAAGCGTAAGAATACTCACAAGACTTGTCTGATTAATAATTTACTAAAACTAGCACAAATTACTTTAGTGCTGTAAAAACCAAAACAGTATTGAAAATCATGTCATGAAATAAATAGATAGGGCTTGGAAAATCTTACTATGGATATGGTTTGGCGGCAATTATTGCATTAGCCTTTATTAGATTTATTATATTCAAATTAGCAATAATTAAGATATTTAAAAGAAGCTCGATTTTAAGGATATGGCATGTCTATAATGGAAGAACTTATATGCCTCTCATACCAGGAAAAGTTATCAACAAAGAAATTAATTTTTTCTTTCTATTTGTTTATTTCGTGTTTCTTCTTCTTTGTCCTCGCAAGCACAAGCAATCGATTCAATTTCTGGAATCATAGTTCCGTGTCAAAACCAGCAATTCAAGAACTAGAAAAAGTAAATATTAAAATACCACAAATTAGAAAGTAACCAGTAAATCATCACATGATTGAGCTCCGACCAACAATAACACACACTTCACAATATACTCTATCCAATTCCATACACAACTAGTTTCGGACCTCAGATTCAATTAAATCACAACCAAACAATCACAAAAACTAAATAACAGCTACAATACAATAAATATAAAAATAAAAATAAAACATAATTAAAAAAAAACTCACAGAGATTGAAGATTCGATATCTTCAACGGAAGAAGCAGTGAAAGAAGGATTGAGATGCTGCAGCAGAACCCTTTGCCTATCAATTGCCTTGTCCATCTCTCTCTCTCTCTCTAAAATATTTGTACGTATAAATCAAACACAAATGAATCCTTACAATTTACATATATAGGGGTAAATAAATGTGCATTGGGAAATGGCAAACAGATTGGATCAATAATTAGGTGTAAATCTAGAAAATAGGATATCTGGACGGTGTCAGATAAGAATAAATTGCACAATTGGTCTTCAACCTTTGAACAAAATAGTAGACCAAGCCCGATCTTTTATTGGTCTAATTTTTATTCTCAATCTTTGAGAATTTAGTAAACTTCGTCACTAACTTTTATGAAATGACAAATTAGTCCACTCACTATTNNNATGACAAATTAGTCCACTCACTATTGCTAACTAAAAAATTAAACATAGAAAAATAAAAAGAAATACATCAATTCATCTTGTCCATTATGCCCCAACTCCACTTGCACCTCACCCGACCAAACTTACCTTAACCTTCGGATAACGCTCCACCACAACTAGATTCTACATTTTTTGTTCATTGAAAGTGACAAGTTAATTTACTTTTTTTTTTTTAAATTGGGTTTAATTGGATTTAACACCTAAACTGGACGGGAACTATATATAGGGATTAAGCCCATGTTTGGTTTGACTAAAAATAAAAATTTCAATATTTTAAAAGTTTTGA